AAATGCTGTCCAACCGCTCATACCTCACAACACCCCGACCCTCGCCGGCCAACGCATCTCTGGCCACGTGATAGCACCGGATGTGACCTCCAGTTCCGATCGACTCGACTAATGCCCAGTGACTGCCATTAGGGGAACCGGGCTTTCGGTTCGGTATAGAAATCTCAATGAGATCGCCCGGTGCGACACCACCACTAATACTCCCAATCCTGCAGCACCCGATGTTTGTCGATATAAGGCATCCCATCATTGGTAGGGAAAAGTTAATGAAAAAACTTTTTACGATACTTTGCTAACGATTTGATGTTTTCGAGTCAATGTTTTGAAAGATTTTTGCATTCAATTTGTGAACAAAAAGGTTTTCAATGTTGCAATCAATTCAATGTCTTATTGATACACAAAACTTGTGAATAATAACCCGATAGTATGAACCAGTGTTTACTCATAAATACTATGCCGGCCTCCCATCCCCTCATATCCCTTTCCCCTATTCGTCAGACTTATCGTACGTTACAATAACTTATGCGAGAATTGAAAAGATTTTTTCATTCATTAATTTCTCAAAACACGAGAAAATGTGTAGAAATGTACGAAAAACTACTGAAGTGTCGGCTTATATGTGTCTCAAAGGTAAAGCACCGATACTTCCGGTGCTCTATTGAGACAACATTTTCTCATTAAACCATTTCATTGAAAATAAAAAACACTCAAAAACTTACAAATCATTTCAAAAACACTTTTCACACAAACAGTTGAAAAGTTTTCAAAAACTTTTTCTTAAATTGTCTTTCCTTTTGGACACCAATTGAGCGATGGGTTCAGTGGTCAGTAAGACCTCCCGGAGCTGTACCTACTCACAGATACAGCCCGGTGACATGATTGAGATACAGGTGCACCGAACCTACGGTGCATACAGTCACTGGGCGTTGTGTAAGTCGGTGGACAGCCTTGGTATTATCTGGTGTGTCCACGTGATACCCGTTGGAGTGGACAGGGAGGGTAAGGGACGGGCAACGGTCCGATACGAACCCCTGGAGGACATACTGATGGTACTGAGCGGTATGGGCACCGGTATGGGCACCGGTATTGCTCCCAAATATCGCGTCAATAACCAGCAAAAGTTGGCTCAAAAAGTCCTAAAAGTGGCGAAAAGTGCCAAAACCCTTGGATTTCATGACGTGAATAGACATCGGGTGCGAGACCTGGACTTCAATCCACTGGTGAGTACCAATCAATGACATCCCTGTCCCCTCAAAAGTTTTAATTACTTTTTTATAATTAATTGATGTGTTTGTCGTAGACATGCAATAGTGAGCACTACTGCACGCACTGGCGGTACGGCATCGCGTGGTCCACACAAGTCATGTCCAGTCGACAGGTCCTCCATTCAGTGGTCAAACACTCGGCATTTGTTATATAAATGCAAACATTAATCATTTGATCCGTAATTGTTTGAAATCATATTTTCATTAATACTAATAATTTGTAACTTTAATTATTTAACATTTAATGTGTAGCTCATTACAAAAGTTGATCAAGACTTTAAATTATTAAATAAACTACTATTTGCATGTGTTTTTCAATACAATTTTGTACTTTTATTAAACCAATAAAATCATTACATTTTCATTAAGTCATAATTAGTTTTAATTATCAAAAAAATCACACATTTGTCTCATGAATACAAATAATTAAGTCAATCACCGGTTTAGTCAAACAAATAATTATGAAAAGTAGTGGTCATTAGGTGGGAACTGTAGGCCACCAACTGGTCTCCTTATAGATCCTCCTTCTTGTGATAATCGAGATCTGGTTGACTGTCGAGCGGATAATCTCGCGGTCGGTGTCCACACCGGTCGACCACCCGATGCCGTACCGCCAGTGCGTGCAGTAGTGCTCACTATTACGGGTCTAAAGGGATCGCCCGTTAATAAGTGGTGGAAAGTGTAGGGGAAAGGGATGCCTTACCTTCACATCATAGGCGACCACTTGATCCCGAAATGCCTGTAAATCATCGGCCAGTTGTTCAAAGTCAGGCACCTGTCGCCCGACTCTCCAAAACAGCTTTTGGACAAACTTTTTGTTGTTTTTCACCCGATATTTGGCGGGAATGGCTGTCCTGTAGTGTCCTTTGCTAAATAGGATCGTCTCCAGGCGCTGATACCTGACCACAGCCTTACGTATGGGCACCTGTATGTCGTCGTCGGTGACGGTGTGGTAACACCAGACCTGACCTAAACTGTCGACTGAGGCACACAGAGCCCAGTGATCCTCCCATCCCTTCAGGTGACTCGTCCGCAGCTTTATATTGATCATATCGCCCGGCCTTATGGCGACCTCCCGGCGCTCAAACACTTTCGTCACAACCGATCCCATGATTTGGCGTAAAAACGGTTGCTTTTGAGGCAAATATGATTTGAAAGTCACTTTAAAAACTTTTTTGTGAATCATTTCTAAGATTTTGTGCTATTTTTCTAGTGAATGAACGGTAGGTGTAGTAAAGTGTTGTTTGTAGTGTCGGCGTCTAGAAAGTTGTACTGTAACTGTACCAGTACATTTGTTTCAGTAACTTATTTTGTGCACAAATACTGGCGCTATGGGATCGGTAGGTCAGCCGTACATACACTCTAACCAATGGATATCATAAATAGGGGAAACCACATGTATTGGACATTCAGGTGACCATAGGTGGTGACATACAAAAGTTAATACAATATATTTAAAATAAAATGTACAGGGTAAGAATTAATGGCAATAATTATTCTCTCTCTCTCTCTCTCTCTCTCTCTCTCTCACACACACACACACACACACACACACACAACACACAAATGTTATAATTTATCAAGATAATTTAGTTATCGATATTAATGTTGAATTAAACGCAAATTTAAATGTTTAAAATGAAATAATGCATTTTATTTGATTTGAAATATCATAATGAAGTAATTGATGATAAAATAATACTTATAATACAAATCGATAATAAAACAAACATTGCATTTGAAAACCGCGTTATTATATAATTATAATAAAAATTCAATTCATTTATCAGTTATATTGTTCACACATTTATATATAATTAAAAATTAATGTTTTTCTCAATTCATTCACACAAATAATATATGAGTTTATAATTTGATAGAAAATACAATAGTTTTTCATTTTTATAATACTATTTCATACAAAATATGTTTATTTTTGTGGCAAACCATGAATTCTTGTGTTTTGCGAGTAATATATAAATAAATTCATTATATTCTGCGATAACATGTATACATATAATTAGGTCGACCCCATCGAAAACACCATAAAAGTTGGGGTAAAACTATATTATATTTAAATTGTACTTGTACTTATTAATGCTAATTATTTATTTCTAATTATTTACGTATTTATCAAACGGTTGTCATATATTTAATTACATGAATATCTGAACTGAATATACTTTATAATTGTCAAAAACGGTGGGATTTTTGTGTTTTATGTGGTTTTGAGCGGAAATACACTTTGATTTATAGAAAAAGCATAGATTTGTAGCATTTTTACAAAGTTTTTCAATTTTAAAATACCATATATTGTGTGAAAAACTCATTATAAGTAACACAAGAATTTAAAAAATGATTTTTTCTGAACACAAGAGTCAATGAAATAATAATAAAAATGAATGATTTGTTTAATAAATGCCATTTTAATCAATCATATAAANTGTGTGCCGTAAACCTAGGAGTATGTGTCGGTCAGAGTCTGTTAACGTCCAACCCGTTCGGTAATCCCAGTCCTGTCCCGCCGTCGTCCCAGACATGCGAAGTGAGTACCGATTTATTACATGTATTTCCCTATGAATACAAATCCAATTGTTTTCATTGAGTCGAGTATAGACTGAATTTGATTAACGAAAGCGTTTTTATTAACAAATTTTTTTTAATTCACAGGAAATGTCAAAATTAGTGCCAAAACTGGTCGCATATCTCATCGACCACTGCCCGGACCTGTTCGGTGACCAAACCCTACGCCTATTGGGCGCACCGGCAGCTCAGCTCATACACCACGACGACCTACACCTGTCCTCCTCCTCAAGACAAGACTCTGGCGCCGAAGAGTCCGACAGCTTAAACAGTTTGCCCGACAGTAACGGCGCCCACAGCACCGGCAGCGGTACAGATGACAGCGCCGGCAGTCGCAGCAGCAGTAATGGGAACCACAGGTGCGACGACTCGTCTATCGACAGCCTGGAACGGGCGCTGATGGACGACACCTCCCGGGTATCTCCCGGCGTCAGTCTGGAGGGTCGACCCGTGAACGCCTTGGCCAACAAGATGTCGTTGTCTAACCTCTCGCACGACTCCGGCCTAACCCTCAGTGACACCCAATTGTATACACCGGACGAGGATGAAGGCGCCGACGACTTGGATCAGTTCCCGGGCACCGGTGGACAGACCTATGGGCGCAAGACATCGTCACCGCTGGCATACCCGCCATATATGGCTAAGTCGTCGCCCCATTTGGATCAGACAGGTCTGGACGGGAC